CTAATGCGAAGGAAGTATAGGCTGGGGGACGGCCTGTTGACCATGGCCGACTTGGAGGCCATGAACAAGGAAGACTTCTCTACCATTGGGGCGTTTGTGCACGAGTTCAAGAAAAGGGCGAGGAAAGTGCACGGGATTTCTGAGGAGGCGCAGTGCGCCACATTTTTGGGGCTGCTTACAGGCTCGGAGGCCACAGAGTTGACGAAGTATGGGGAAGGAAGCGAGAGGCTCACTTGGGCAACGATTGACAAGGGAGTAGAAGAAGGGAGCCTGGACCAGGTGGAGCAGCACCAAATGAGGTTGCAAAGGCGCAAGTGGAAGGAGAGGGATGCTACTGCATCCGGGACCCCAGGGGTGAAGAGAATAGTCACGGACGTGTTGGCGGCTTTAGGGTATGATAGCGAAGCAGAACTACAGAAAAGAGTGGTGGTAGTGGCCCAAGGCCGGGCGTCAGGAGTAGGAGATGAGGAGGCAGGGCGCGAAGACTACGGTGGAGGGGAGACGGGCTCCCAAGCCCTGACTAAGGCCCAGAGGAAGCAGCGTAATCTGCTACTGGGGGGGACAGGGATTGGGGAAAGGGCAGGCTCCCCAAGCCCTTGCCGCACCACCACCTGTCGCCACGGCCACCCCAGCGCCTGCGCCAGCCGGATCATCGCACATGGGGCCGCCGCCATCTTGTGGACACTGGGTGCCGCATTGCCAATCCACGCCCTGGCCCAGTTGTAACCACTGCGTCTCGTGTGGAGGGAGTCAGGCCCACGCGGGGCACATGGTCCCCTATTCAGGCCCATCCGCAAGTATGGGCCCCCCGAGCTACCCGGCGACTCAAAGCCAGCCCGTGGCTCAACCGCCGCCCTCCCAGCAGGCCTCGCAAGCTAGTGTGGCCGGTGGAGGAGACCAAGGACAAGGCGGGCAGGACAATGGGGGCCGGGGCCAAGGAGGTAGAGGAGGGGGCGGCCGGGGGCGAGGAGGAAATGGTGGAGGCCATGGAGGAGGCTGGAATGGTCAAGGGGGTCAGAACCAAGGTGGCCAGGGCAGCCAGGGAGGGGGCCAAGGGTACGGGAGGCCCCGCTTCGACTGGCGGAACGCAACTTGTTGGCATTGTGGCGAGGTGGGCCACACCGTACGATTCTGCCAACAGCGGCGGGATGACGAAAAGGCAGGATTAATCTCCACCTGTATGGACGGGGATATATACGACTGGTGGGGAACGCACATTGACCCCAAGACCCCAGGAGGAATCAGGCAGGAAGCCCTCAGGCGCGCAACGGCCGGGCCTCCAGCAGCCCCGGCAATGTTCAGGATATGGCAAGAAAGGCAAGACCCCGGCGTAAGGGTCGAGGAGATTGTGGATGAAAATGAGAAAGTGACTCAGCGGCTGAAGGCGGGGACTATAAAGGAGGAGCCCACAGTTGTTGAGTCCGATGAAGAGGCGCAGGAAGTAGTGAGAGAGTCAGCCTCGACCATCCTGGAGAGAATGGAGGGCCTGCTTGCAAAGGTCGGCAGGTATCAGGAACGGCTAAGGGCGATGTGTGGAAAGGCGCGGGAGTGGGAAATGAGCCTTCCTGAGGTGATGCTCTATGGGTCCGGTCTGGAGTCGTCATCAGGACCACAAGGATGTCCAAGCGTGGCGACGGCCGGGACAGGTCCTAGGTCAGGGATGACCTTTAGACCCCCTACGTCGCATGGAAGGGTACCACAGGCCGCGCAGACTAGGGGCCAAAGTAAGGCTACCACCAGTCAAGGGCCTTGCCAGGCACCCAGTCGGGCGCCCCTTCGAAAGGACTCTGAGCCTGAACGAAGGAAGGAAGTGGTAGAGGTTCAAGAAGAGGAAGATGAGGGTGATGATGAAGAGGATGAGAGGCTCCGTCAGGAGGAGGACCGGAGGGCGGAACAGAGGGTCAAGAAGAGAGGGGCTCAGGGAGGGGCGGAGCCGAGTCTGCATGATGGCGTGCCAAAGAGAAAAAAGTACGCGGTCCGGCTGGAGGAAGGCTTTGATGTGGAGCGAATGGTGGACAAGCTCCTGGAATGCCATAACGATTTGATGAATCTAAAGGACATTTTGGCCTCGGCACCAAGGCTCCGTGGTGAGCTGAAAGAGCGGCTCTCGATTAGTGCCCAATGTCCACCTGAGCTCAATTCTGCCTAGGGAGATAGAGTGGACAGAGGCAGGCACCAGGATGGATTGGAAATGCGTGGCGTGTGGGATGGTGGACTTTAAGGTGAGGGACCAGCCGAGCATCGCAATGGTGGACACGGGCGCGGAGATGAACATCATCCGGGAGTGGGACGCGACCATGTTGGGGTTGGAGGTCGACCATTCGGACCATGGCGTGTTGCATGGCGCCAACTGTAAGGCCATTTTCTGCGGCACCGCGTCTAATGTGATGGTGGAGATCGGGAGAGTAAGGGCGCGAACGTGCTTCTTCGTCATGCCGAAGTCGACCACCCTATTCTTCTGGGGAGGTCATTCCTCTGCCGGACGGAGACCTTGGTCTTCAACAGGCACGAGGGGACGATGATCCTGGCTCTATCCGATCCTGCTTGCGGAAACTACGAAATCATCAAGTGCCGGAACACGGGGCCCGGAAGTGCGAGGAATAGGCTCAACCTCGGCTCCTTTACCTTCGAGGAGTCTGAGTACGCGCGACGGAGACTCCGGGAGGAACAGGAGGGGGAAGGAGCAGGCGAGGTGCTGTCCCTGAGCCTTAACGATATGAATAAGGCAATGGAGGTGGTGGCGGCGCATGACATGGCGGACCCTGTGGCTATAAAGGCGTTGAGGAAGCAGGTCCTGGAAAACCCTCAGGTAGGAGAGGTGGAGCTGATTTATCGGCTTCCTGGGAGGAGAGGGGACCCTGCCATGGCCCAAGCCCGAACAACAAGTCGGCCTTTTTTAGGGGAGGGCTTAAGCAGGGCTCCCAAAGGCGGTACAAGACCATAGACAAGAAGTGTCGCGCGGTCCCCGTGCTTGTCACGGAGAATGAGGAAGCCTACTATGAGCGAGAGCGGGGGCTGATAAGGCGTATGCGGGAACGCGCGCAGGCAGGGCCGTACCGCATCAATAATGAGAATGAGGAAGGGTTGATAATTGGCGAGTCTGGCTTCCTGTCGCCCCAGGAGAGGACCTTGATGGTGGAGACCATGAGGAGGAGGCATTGCACGTATGCGTTTAATGATGACGAGCGTGGGAGGTTGGACGTGGATAAGATCCCGATGATACGAATCCATACCGTCCCACACGAGTCATGGAACCTGAGGGGCGCGCGGTACCCGAATCCGGATGAGGAGAAGAAGGTGGTGGATTACTTGGATGGGAAGATGAGGACGTATGTGGCGGATTACTCCAGTGGACCATATGCTTCCCCTTGGTTCTGTTTTATCAAGCCGAACAGAACGTTGCGGTGGGTGCAGGATCTGCAACGACTGAATGCAGTGACGTTGCGGGACGCGAGAGGATTGCCGAACAAGGACGCCCTGTCAGAATCATGCGCAGGAAGGCCTATAATCTCACTTATAGACCTTGACTCTGGGTATGACCAGTTTTCTATGTACCCACCGGATAGGCCGGTGACGGCGATGCACACGCCAAGGGGGCTAATCCATATGAACGTGGCGCCTCAGGGGTGGACTAATGCGGTGGCAATGGTGCAAAGGCACATGATTAGGGCTATGCTGATGGTTAGTCCACATATCACTCAGCCCTACATTGACGATTTGGCGGTCAAGGGTCTAAAGGAGAAGGAGGAAGGATTAGTGATGCCAGGAGTAAGGCGGTTCGTCTGGAAGCACGTCCAGGATATCGATCAGGTTCTGCGTCTGCTGGAAGAACACAACCTGACGGCGAGCGGCCCCAAGTCGAAACATTGTATGAGGGAGGCCATGATTCTGGGCTTTGTCTGCAACAAGAAGGGGCGGAGGCCAGACGTGAAGAAAACGGATAAGATCCTAGAGTGGTCAGTCCCCTTCCAGTCGATAACGGACGTGAGGAGCTTCCTTGGGACATGTGGGTTTTGGAGGAGTTTTGTGAAGGACTTCGCCACCAAGACGGAGCATTTGAGAAAGCTCGTGCATCAGGATCAGGAGTGGGTCTGGGGCGAAGACCAGGAGAAGGCTGTGGAAAGGATGAAGAGAGAATTCAAGGAAGGAGGCTTGGTGTTGGGAGCGCCAAATTACGAGGCTACGGAGGAGAAGCCATTCAATGTCGAGACGGACGTTGGGCCAACTGCCTTAGGAGGGGTCCTGATTCAGGCAGATGCGGATGGGAAGGAAAGGCCGTTAAGGTTTGAAAGTCGCACCCTCAATACGACTGAGAGGAACTACTCCCAGTTTAAGAAGGAGACATTAGCGGTACTCCACTGCCTAAGGACGTTTCAGAACTATATCTTTGGCAGGAGGCTCATTTTGAGGGTGGACCCTACCGCGCTCGCGTGTTCCCTGAAAAGTTATACTTCATCTGACCCAACCATCGCGAGGTGGTTGACTTACATTTGGATGTTTAACTTTGAGTTGGAAAGGATTCCCGGGGACAAAAACAGGGCAGATGGATTGAGCCGTATCAACTGGGACGGGGCGAATTAGGAGTCAATTGAGGATACCCCACCAGTCGACGGGTTCTTGGACCAGGAGGAGGACGTTCGCCTCCACATAAATAAATGGTCGCTGAGGGTGCCTAGCTGCGTCACGCATCCTATATGGCTAGCACCAAAGGGGTACGAGCAGAAGGAGAAGCTGGTCCTCAAGCCCTTCCAGGAAGAAGATCCGTGGGGGAGTAGGGATGTTAGTTGGATGATGAAATTGGCGTTGGCAGGGACACATAGTCTAGCGGAGGAGGTAAGGACGATAGAGGAAGGCCCAACCCAGGTAGAGGAGCATGAACAACTAATGGGAGGAATGTACTTGCTCACCAACACGCTCCTAAGTAGGGGAACTTTGACCAGAGGGGCGCAGCCAGCTCCAAGGAGGGCGAACTTCTCATTCCTGAGAGCCAGGACGACGAGTTTGAAGAGGGAGAGATTAGGGAGGCCTTCCGTGTTGAGGAGTATGATGGAATCTATCGGGAGTTGGGGTTACTACTGTCGTGCGAGATGAGGGATAGGGATGCGAGCGCTAAAACCCAGAAGATGAGGCATCTCTACGTAGTAAGAGATGGCCACCTGTTTATAAAGCGACAGGTTGGGAACCCCAAGAGGATCGTACGTGGGAGAAACCGGCATATCGATGTCATAGCAGCCTTACACGATGGTACAGCAGGGGGGCACAGAGGGGTTAGTGCCACGTGCGCAAAGATAAGTGAGTTATACCATTGGGATGGAATGCTGACTATGGTCATCAAGTACTGTCAGTCTTGTGTACCCTGCCAACAGAGGTCAGCGCAAAGGCCGGGGGAGCCTCTGCACCCCAGACTGGAAAGGGAAGTGGGTGCAGTCGTACACCTGGACCTATTGTTCATGCCACTTGGGGAGGACGGAAGTAACTATATTTTCGACGCACGGGACAACCTTACCGGGTTCGTGGACGGTCGGGCTATCCGTACGAAGACTGGCCTAGTTTTAGCGAGGTGTATCGAAGAGTACTACTTGCGCTATCCATTTGTCAGAGAGTTTGTGATGGACCGGGGGTCGGAGTTTACTTGTAACGAGGTGCGGACCTTGCTTGCGGGATACGGCGTGGTAGCAAACTACACTACTGCCGCGCACCCCCAAGCAAACGCACCTGTGAAGAGGGGGCATAGTACCATCACGAATCTCCTGGCCAAATGGACTGAGGGGAAGCCTAACCAGTGACCGAAATTCCTGAGAGGAGCATTCTTCGTGGAAAATGTTACAGTGAAAAGGACTACCAAGTATGCGCCAGCCACACTATGGTACGTAAGGCATGCCACCTTTCCCATAGAAAGCTTTATGAAAACGTGGAGGCGCCAGGACCTGGAAGTGAACCTGTCCTTTGAAGAACTGCTCGATATACGGGTGCGGCAGGTGGGAGCCGCTGAGGAAAGGCTACGGGAGGCCGCCGGTCAGGTGGAAAGAAGTCGTATGGAAGACAAGATGAGGTGGGACCAGATGGCCCGAATAAGGAAGGACCCGCTGAAGGTTGGAGATGTGGTGTTGATGTATGACTCCTCGCTGGAAAAGCAATGGTCTAGGAAACTCGACAAACGGTGGCTGGGACCCTATAGGATTGTGCGATGTGGCGAATTTGGGGTCTACCAAATCGAAGAGTTGGATGGTGCAGGGTGGCAAGACTGGGTATCAGGGACAAGGCTGAAGAAGTTTGTGGCCAGGGAATAGGTAAAGGGCCATGAGACCTCATTGGGAATAGAGTCTTGCCTAAGTATTACCCAGGTCAGGTGATTAGATAGGTGGATGATTGGGGTGGATAGGTGTAGAAGGTATGTGGGATTCCCCTAGGCCAATGACTCAGTAGCTGACCCTGCTATGTGCTTGTTTGTTGTCTCTCGCCTGTTGTGCAGGTCTGACTTTTCGAAGGCAGTCATGCAGAGGGGCGGGAGGGACACACGGCCACGCCAGGGGCTCCAGAGAATGGCGGGAGGGGGCGAGCAGCATGGGCTGCCTAGGAGGGAGCTTACGCCTGAGTTTGATGACGACAATATTGAGCTCTTCTTGGACGTATATCGGGACCATGCGGCACAGAAAGGGTGGTAAGTGGCGGAGAGGATTCACCACTTGAGGGCGGTTCGAGGAGCCTGTCACTCAGATATGCGAGGAGGCCCTGACTTGGCCAGATGTGGAAGCCGGGATGCAGAGGTTGAGAGCTTCCCCTAGGGGGCGTGATGGCATGCCCATTCGATTGGAGGAGGGGAACGCAGATGAGTTCATCCCCGCGTATGAGCACTGCATGTTGAGTCTGGGGGTTGCGCGGGAGGAATGGGTACAAGCCCTACCCATCTGGACGAGGCAGCCAGAGAGGCAGGTGGCCAAACAGATTCGGGAGAAGGCTCGAGACTGGGAGGACTGTCAGGCCCAACTCAGGAGGGCGTTCGGACGGCCACAGCACGAGAGGCACGAGCCCAAAGTTGAGAGGCGGCGACAAAGCAAGAGGCCAAGGGAACCGGCACCGAGAGAGGCGGGGCTGGTCAGAGAGAGGAGGGGAGCCCCAGCCCAGCGGGAGAATGAGCCCGCAGGGCCCGCATTGGCAGAGGAGTCGTTCCCTGCTTGTGGCCTCCGGGCGGTTGAGTTTCGGCGGATTACGAGCGAGGAGTTGAGGCCGCCCTTGCCATTGCCATCAACGCAGGAGCTAGACATACCAAGAGAGACGCCATTCCGAAGCTTAGCGACTCATCTCGATGTATCCCAATGGGAGGCCTCACGGCTGGGAGAGGGCTCAGTTGAGCCGGTGTGCTACGTGCTATTGGAGGAGCCCCTGGTCCCTCAGTTTGAGTTGTTTGATGACTAAGACCCCCTTCATGGTTTTGGAAGAGGGGAATTACATTGTATGGAGGCCCCTTCATGGTTTTGGAAGAGGTCGCGCAAGGAGTCATCCCATACAAAAAGAGGATGACTGTGAAAACTTTTGTGAAAGGCACCCTTCACCAAGTGAGGGTGGGTAAAAACTGAATGGTATGGAAAGCATTGTCTGTGCTGATAAAGTCTGACGAGGGGGAACCATGTTTGCTTGAAATGTTTGAAAAGGGCGAGAGATGCCTCAGGGTGGGCGACTGCTGGCTCTGATCAAGTCAGGGGCCGCGGCCTTGTGGATCCGACGGGGAGACTGTTTGTGATTGAGCGAAGGATGCCGTGCCTATTATAGGAGGACCGGTAAATGCCTTCAGACCCCTGCGTAGTCCCGCAGCGGCCGTGAATTGTTTGTGATGCCCCGCCGGGCCACCTGTGCTAATTCTGAGACATATTTGAGGGAATACCAAGCTAACGGTAAAAGTTCGTGCCACCTGGGCGCAACCCCTAGTGGATGGCTGTTAGCCGGCACAACCTGGATGCGGGCCCGCAAGGTAAGAGTTTAAGGGGAGTTGCCCACCCCAGGGAAATTACCTTGCGGGATAAGAGTCGAGTCTTTTGGAAACCCTGATTGATTGATTATCAGGGACATACCTGTCATTGTATAACCAATGGGAGGATACTGCCGCTAAGGTAACAATGCGGTGGGTCGTAGACCTGACCCGATCAACCAGGCTATGGTGGACTCAAATGGAAACCTGGTGTTTCTGTACTAGACTGCAGAAAGGGCCGAGAGAGGCTATAAGTTATATATATGCATTTTGCTTGATGGCGAGAAAATTGTTGAAAGAAGGCAAGAATGCCTTCACAGGTCCCATTCAAAGCCCGCGTCCCTAGTTACGGCTCTGTCTACGAGAAAGAGGATAACTAGGACACCTAACAAGAGGCCGGCGATTGTCTAGGACAAAGAGGAAGACGGTGGTTTGAGGGCCTTTGGAACTTATGCTGTAGTATTGACGCGTAATACACCGGCGTCAGGACAATGGAGACCCAGGTTGAAACCCTGGCAACATATAGTTATGTTGGCACGGTTAGATGGAGGCCTCGACCCTGAGTCTGTCGGCTAATCGGATCGGTTCTGACCTCGTCAGCATTTGGAATGTGGAGAAAGTCCTAGCTTTTGATTTGGCGACGCGACGGGGACGTCGCTTAATATGGTCCGGTAAGTTGTCGGTGGGAATACCTTTACAAGGGTATCCGCCCTGGTTTTTGCAAGCGACAGAAAGGCTTGGTTAACCTGGATTCTGAGTGTCTGTGCGGGGAAATGTGAGGGTCGTTCGCGCGTGAGCAAAGGTCTGCCTTGTCCCAGTAGGCAGTATGTGGGCGCGCAATTTTGAGGCGCGCGTGTGATTTTTCTGGTTGGAGTAGGTGGCCGGTCTAGTCGACCGGCCCGGACCATGTTACAGGCTTGATAAGGGGTAAAGGTCTGCCCTTCTCTTCCTTTTGCTCAACGCGCGCGACCGGCGGCAGGATTAGCGCACTGAGGGGCGTACAGGACGACCGGGGCATAGGGTGGTAGGCCGGCGAAGACATTTAGGGGCCGTGGGTATGAATGCCGGGCAAAAGGGCGGTCGGGCGGTATCCTGGCTCGAAACGCCGCGCGGCGCTACCTTATATGGGGAGCCGCGCCTGCCAGTCACAGGCTTGGGCTTAGCCCTTTGGTTACAGCGGCGGACTGGTGTGCAGCGGAAACAGGGATCGAGGCCGACGGCATGCGGAAGTGAGCGGAGGAGCGTGGCGGCGAGGCTTGAGGGATTGATGGGCCTGCGGGACTATCTCCTTTGCCTTTTTACAGATCATGGGGGCCACGACCCCCGCTCGAGTGCCATACGTGTTGCGGGGTGCTATATGCCTATTTGTGGATACCGTCTTCTCGAGGCAGGTCCATTCGATCCTCGCGCGCCTACTAGCCGTACTAAGCGGAGGAGCTTGCCAGCGAGTTCGGAGCACCTGCCCCGCGTGGCCTGCAGCTGCGAGCCAGCGAGCGGACGGGGAGGAAAACGGGGAAATAAGCCGTCCTCGGCTAGCAGAAACCAGAGTTAGGGGATTCATGTGCATTCAAGACTCAGCGTAGCGCGCAAGGGTGTTAACGAACAGACCGCTGGAAAAACTTGGGGGGCTGCAGTTGACGAGTCAGCATCGAGCTGTCGTCGTGATAGAGCGGGGCTCTCCGCGGTATACAGACATTGCGAGACTGATTAGTCTCGAGGTGGGGCCGAGCCGGACTGCTACCTCACTGTTGTGGCCATTGCAGTGCTTGCTGCGGTGCACGGGTATTGTGCATCCTGGTCGTGGCAATATTTGGTGGTACTCAGCTGTTGTTCGCTCTGCATCTTGCTCCCACTGTGTCTCTATTGCTATAGGTGCCGTGCTGGCTGGAGACTGCTGTCCGTTAAAGATGCCATTGTTGAGGTCGAAGAGCTCACCGGCTGCTACTGGTTACGAAATTGCTGCCCAGAGAGCGGTTGCTCGCTATCAGTCGTCGGCGGTGGGTATGACTGAGGGGGTTGCCACCGTGGGACGAGTCAGCCGCTGCAGTTCAGCTGCTACTTGTTACTTGGTGTTTGGGGGTAATGTGTATTAACAACTGACTTGGGGTAGAACAGGGAGGTTTTAAGGAGTGGTTTGGGGTTGAGAAGGGGAGTCGTTGCCACGAATTGGAAGATCCTCAGGGGAGGCGCCGTCAGCAGCCTGATCTCGTTAACGCAAGCGCCAGCAGTCAGTGGCCACCTGTTCGGGGCCCTGAGGCGCATGAAGGTGACAAGGCCCTCTCCTGCGAGTCTGAAAGCACCCCCCTTGGGTCTTGAGAGTCTCTTATTTCTACTTCTGCCCTTCTTCCTCTAAATCTAGTCCGTTGGTTCTGAGAGGAAGGCGGCAAGCGGGCGTGTGACCCGTGACCCGCGCCAAGGCCTTTGTGGGAGGTGGCCCCACCGATTGCGGGAGCTCTGCCGGGACTCAGGAGGAGTCCTGGAGGCAGGGAACTGAGTGGTAATTCCCTGACTCCCTCTATAAACCCARTATARCCMCTATCTGTAMAWCTTTCTATGGTTTAACYGAGTGTACTGCGTGGCTCYTGTACTCTGATTTTGGTTTGACTGTCAGGACTTAAGTCAGACTGAAGTAAAGGAGTGTRTGTGCAATCTCAGTTTCAGTTTTTGTTGATTGTCTGGAAGCAGGTTGTGGATGAAGTGGGTTGCATCTGGGGGAAGGTTGGGAGGAAGGCAGTATTGTGTGCAGATTGACTGGGTCATTAAGGCTAGGAGGTCCCCTTAAGTTTGGGGAAGCCCAGCGCTTTGTTTATTTTTGGTTTGCATGGAGCCTCAGACCGCTCTATAAGTTTAGGTAGCCTGAAGCTCTGGAGGCTAGGATGCCCCCATAAGTTTGGGGAGACCTGGCGCTGTGAACTGCATAGAGGGTCAGGACGCTCTATAAGTTTAGGTGTCCTGACTGCTCTGACTTGTGAGGGTTTGACTGTGGGTGACTTTCAGGGACCCAAAGCGCTCTATAAGTTTAGGTACCTTGGGTTGCCTCGTTTTATTTGGGGTTCTCTCAGTTTCTTTGGTTTTGAACAAGGAGGTCTGAACCGCTCTATAAGTTTAGGTGGTTCAGCCCTTCTCCTGTTTTGTTTTGTGGGGATAATCTTAACATGAGACGGACCGCTTTATAAGTTTAGGTAGCCTGTCCCACTGCCTCGCACAGATTGGATCAGAGAGAAATGAACCTGGCTGAGGATCAGACCGCTCTATAAGTTTAGGTGGTCTGACCCAATGCCTCGCATATGTTGGAACCCAATGGATATAATTTGGTTATATTGTATTGCTATGCTATTACAAACAGGCCGGTCAGGCCGCTGTATAAGTTTAGATAGCCTTACTACAACTTATCATAACTGAAGAGAGTATAATTAAGAGATATAACTGAAGGTAAACGTGGGCAGGCTAAGCAATGTTGCAAGTTGAGCGGCTCATCCTTATGTCCCTTTGAAGACTAAGTTCATATATATATATATATATATATATATATATATATATATATATATATATATATATATATATATATNAGGGCGACTAGAGTGGTCTAGTCAGATGCCCAAAGAAGAGAGAAGTAGTTTTGCCCTCTGTTTGTGTATACCTGGCCAAGTCAGAACGCTCTATAAGTTTAGGTATTCTGACTTTGGGCCTGGCCAAAGTTGGGCGCACTCTCTAAGTTGAGGTGCCCTGGCCTATGCCTTATGTAAGTTGGGTATGAGGGGATAACTCACTGAAAGATCATGAACTTTTGTTTGTTCAAACTGACTTAGGGATGGTGAGAGTACTTACCTTTGTGGTTTGGCCTGCATGTGGCTGAGTGAGATTACTACTTGGTCCGGGTTTCAGGTTGACAGGTAGTTGCTTTAGAGGCTCGCCACGTGCTAGAGCGATAGGAGTTAGGTCAATTCCTGCATTTTCTCAGCTGACTTTATTTTACTTAGATCAATTCTTGGCTTTGTATAAATCTTGGCAAGTTACTTTCTCTACGGGAAGCGCTGCCGAAATATCTACGAATCCAAGGAGTTAGTCAACTTTTGACTTGTCAAAGTTCAACTTATCTATTCTTTATATCTGACTTAGTAAAAATTTGGAAAGTCTCCTTTTCTAAAGGGAGTGCTGCCCAATTTTTTGCTAATTCAGGGAGTTAGATAAAAATAGACTTTGAGAAGTCAAAATTATTTTTAGATTTTGAACTTAGCCTTGTATAAATTTTGGAATAACACTTTTCTAAAGGGAGTGTTGCTGAAATTTCTGCAAACTTAAGGAGTCAGTCAAATCTTGTCTAAGTTGAACTCAAGTTGCCTTGTGAGTTCATATCTGACCTAGTATACATCTCGTAAGTCTTCCTTTCTAAAGGGAGTGCTGTCCAAATTTCTACTGATTCTGGGAGTTAGACAGAATTTAGCTTTTCAGAGTTTGAGATTATTTCTGTTTTCATATTTGGGTTGATATAAACTTGGAAAAGGCACTTTTCCTACGGGGAGCGCCGCCAAAATTTTCCTAAATTAGAGGAGTTAGATTATATTTTGACAGATGGCGATTCTGGCAATCCACCCTGAATAGGGGAGATTCAACCAGGGTCTGCCTGTGCTTTGAGCACCGCTTAGAGGTAGATTCAGGCTTAGCTAGGTAGGAGGATTTTAGTTAGAATATATTATGGAGTTGTATTCTCCATACGCTCATGATCTCAGCTTGGGGATTGGCCTGTCATGTGTTACAGGTCGTCTTGATCGTTCGATTCAAGATCAGGACTAGATTCAGCTTGATCCCTTGAGGATCGTCTTCTGTTATCATTGATAACAGGTCGGTTGCCAATTCGTCGGTCTTCGACTCAATTTCAACTCATTCCTCCATACTCAACCTAAAAGGCTTTAGCCCTGGTGGTTTTTACTGTTTGTTAAGGGTTTCACCCGGACTTTTATTGAATGGCCATTTAACAAAGGTACTGAGTATTTAATTGAGGTTGGTTGGACTGGCAGTTGGGGCTTGCATGGCTAAAGCGAAAGGGTATGAGCATAGAGAATGGTTGGGGTTGACTCCGTGTAGTGAGTCTTTTGTCGCCTTATTCTTGGTGTGGTTGCAGGTATGTCTTGTGGCTCGGATTTTGGATTTGGACTGTCTGCGATTCCATAATACATATACATGGTTGTGAGAAGTCCTACTATGCCTGTGAGAAGTGATCGTCATAACTCTATCCCCTTTTACATGTATGCGTGGGTATACGTACGATGGGTATTCGAGGGGCCCAAAGGGCCGTGTTAATAACCGCGTGGAAGTTGGGGCTGAGGGACAGGGAAGACCCTCCCTTCTGCCTATTTGCGTCTTGGGTCTTTCTTAGTCGGACGTTGGTCCGAGGCCGGGATTCGAGGTCCTTGTCCAAGACATCCCAAGCCCTAGGCCCTGAAGAGGAGGGGCCTCCCCTCGCATAGAGCCTATTTACTTTGGTCAGCAGGACACTCCATCTGAGAAGTGGGAACGTCGCGAGGGTCGAACTGCGTGTCCTTCAACCGTTCAATATCATGAGGGGTAATCCCTCGCGATGAGTTCCTTCAGCTATTCAATATCGCGAGGCCTAAGCCGTGGTCACCACATATGATTGGCATCAGTGGTTGGCATAGGGTTGGTATGCGGCCGCTTAGCTTTATATCAGAGACCTACGCGACGCCTCGCCGCCCCGGCGTCTAAAGGTTATGGGACTGCCGGGTTTGTGCGTAGGCGCAACGCTTGGGATTATTATAGGCCGCCGGCACCGCCCATAGAGGGGAAGTGTGTCCCAAGGCTATGAGTTTTTGTTTTAAGGGCCAGGAGACCTTTGCCCTATCCCCCCTTCTTGGGTTCGTGCGAGTTTTGTTGTTTCTTAGAGATTTTTATGGTTGGACGTTGTAGTCCGTGGCAGCCGTCAAAGTCAAACTCCTCGACTTTCGCCCAGACCCCGGGGAGGACTCACCCCTAGGGCCGCGAGAGACGACTACCACCACAGACATGGGCCTGTGTACCACCCACTCTGCATAAGGGTGCAGAAGAGGGTGTATGGTCTCCAACCGCGCATGGCGGTTGTCTGGCATCGAGAGATTAACCCTCTAGGCGCGTGTCAGCCGACACTTGAGTGTCGAACGCGACCCTCGAGATTAACGAGGACCGCGCGAGTATGGGTACTACCTGGTACGCCATCATTGCGACTGCTTGCGTACGCTTGCATTGCGAGTCGATATGAGTAAGCCCTGCGTCCGCGCAGTTTTATACTAAGTCTCGCGCACGACGCCTATCCGATTTCCGCGTCATGAAGTTATGTGTTGGCTACCGAGGGACTAGGAGCGTTTGTCGCGTTGTTTGTGCTGTGTCGTGCTGTACGTGCGTGTGTGTGTGTTTTATTTTTGTCTCGTAATGTGGTGTGCGCGTGGTGTGTGGGATGCGTCCTAGTCGACGGACGTCAAGCCACGCTTGGGACTTCAGCCCCTCAAGATGTCGGTTCACGTGCGGTTCCGATAGGCATATTACCGCGCGTACCCCCTATGCTACAGTGAACGAGAAACGCCCTCGGCTGGTCCACCTCTGCGATTGCAACCGAGTAGCTTTCGTATTGTAGACTGGTAGCTCGACGGGGATACGCCCACCGAAGGGAGGTGACAGCTCCGGTAAGGTGGAGGTAAGTTGTGTCTCGCGTAGGCCTTATCCTGTCGTAGGGGAGAGGTATAGCTGGCGCACTCGGTCGAAGCGGCCTAAGGAAGCTCCATCTGCGTGTTCGTGACGAGGTAGGTCCAACTCCTGCGTGACGCGGCCGAGAGGGTCGCGCGCCGCCGCATGCGGTGTCGGACCGATGCGCTCGACAGCGCCCAAAAGATCGAAAATGAAACGAAAGAAACGACGACAACATTTATTAATCGCGCCCGCGGTGGCGCGCTAGCCATCCAGCCGACCAATCAATCAACCAGCCATCCCAGGACACACCCAGCTCCGAACCCCGCCATTCGAAAAGAAGCGACGAAAAAGACGAAAAAAACAAGGACACCGATGCAATTTCCCACC